CTTTAAATCATAGTTACAGCACAGTATAACTACAGTTAAGTACAGCCGCAGCACTTCATAACAATCCTAAACGTATCCTAAATTTAGTTCTCAACTTTTAATAAATATTAGATATTGTCCCAACCTTTTATTTAGATCAAAAATAGTCCCTAACTTTTTAAAAATTGCCAAACTTAATCCTATTGTTAGTTAATTTCGTTAAGTTCCTAACAAAAATTTTAATTGGAATTTTGAGAGATCTAATAGAAATTTTTACATGATTTTTCTTTTACTTTTCATTTTCCTAAAATTATTTTGCTAAAATTTGGGTTCTTTAAAACACCTTAACTCTTTCTTTTTTTTGAAAAATGTTTGAGAATTTACATATAGGGGTTTATGTATATGTTACATGTTGCAATTCTATATAATTTGAGATAGATTTTCATTTTAAATTTTTTGATATATTTTATAAAGTAGTAATTTAGATGACAAATAAATTATAATTAAAAAATATTTAAACTATAAAATTTATTATATTATTAAACTATTAAATTATGCTAAAAGTTTATAAGATTGAAGCAAAGACGTTGCATTCAATAAAAGACCAAATAATGATAATAATAATAAAACATGATATTTGGAGATTTGCATAAAAAAATTAAGTTTAAATATATTAAAAAAATAAAATATATGTTTGGTGTTATGTAAAAGAATGGTTTAGCCTTTTTTTTTTTTTTTTTATCTTTTCTATTTAAAGGTTTTGGTTGCTTCTCATAAATTTTAACTAAAATTTTCATTAAGAATTTAACAATAGTAATTAAGGTAGGATTAAACTCGATAATTTTAAAAAGATTTGAGATCATTTTTCATTTAAAGAAAAAAAATTAAGATAATATTCCATATTTATAATAAATATTGAGATTAAATTTAATATTTACCCAAATAAAAACAAAAATTTTATAGTCGTGAAATCCCCAATCAAAAAATAAGCTTAATTGTTTGGCTTTCCACCATATTAGTGGTGCGAAAAGGAAATAAAATCCATGACCATGGGAAAAGATGCATACTATTCAACATCAAGAGTACTTTGTCATGTGTTTTTTGCCAATGGCAGTCCAAATGAGTTTGATTGTCTTTCGTCTTTTTTTTTTGAGGAAAAAGAAACTCGATTGTCTTTTGTCTTCATTGTTCTTTTTTCAGATGTCTTTGAACTCGGCCGTGGCCGTAGGGATATAACTCAATCCATTGCAAGCTTTCCATGGAAATGACAAATCTTGCCAGTTGTGCCGGAGAAAAATCAAAATCTTTGCGATTGCAGTGAAATTTACATGAGTTTTACGTACAAGAATTCTTTTCAGTGCGTCAGAGATTTGATTAGCTCACACGTCTTTCGTACCTATTTTTTAGACCGTTATCCAAATATTTTTTCATTTAATACATTCTATAATATATATTTATTAAAAAAGTTATTATGATTTAATTTAAAATTAAAATATAAAAAAATTAAAAATATAATTATACATATAATATAAAAAAATTAATTAAACTGAATGTATCTATATTATTATATTTTAATAATTAAATTAATTAAATATTAATATATGTGGCTAACCAAAGAGTATCTAGATTATTTTTTATTCACGAAGGATATTGCTTGCAAGGTTCCACCAAAATCTATAACGGGATTTGTGTATAAAACAAATCTCTTCAATTTTCTTTTTTTTGTGTTCTTCTTCTTTGCGCCGTGCTCTAAAGAAAATATTTTTATATTATTTTTTATATAATTTTTATATATTATTAAATGAGTAAATATATTTAATATCATAAATTTCACATAAATAAAAAAAATTAATTATTTAAATGACATATCAAATTATATAATTATTATTTTCCTTCATTTTTTGTATTGTTAAGATATTTTTAAATTAATTTACATGCATCCCAAAAAGGTTGTCCTCTCTCTTCAATTTTTTAATAATTAAATAATTTTTTTTTCTCTCCTCTCCCTTCTTTTCCACCCTTTCAACCTAAACATACAATAAGACTTACATTAAATTTCAAGCTTTAACTTTTTATAAGAGAACAGTGAATTCTATCCTTTACCATAATTTATTGAAATATTTGCTACATCTTACTTAAAGCTCCACCAACTTAATTTCTAATGTAAAAGTGGAATGTATAGCAAGTTTTTCTGTGAAAACAACTAATCTTCTTGTGGGTTGTGGGGCATCTTACCTCTTTTGAACTTATCAAAATTTTAATGCTTTAGTTTTGATTCAGAAACAATGAATATTAAGTCATGTGAGAATATTTGAACTTCGAGACCAAAATAATTTTACCAAAAATGTTATAATACCAACAATAAGAAATTTCATTTTAATATTATATTATTATAACTAATATCATATTATATAAATTTACATAGTTATATGTTCAACTCTTAAATAAAACACTTTCCTTTTCTGGCGTGTATATCTACACTCTGGAGCAAAACATTTTTAAAATTTCTATAAATAATATTTAAATTTAAAACTTTTTTTAAAATGAAATCCCAGCGGTTGGACTCATTGCGTTGTTTGAGAAAGCCTGACCTGTGCTGACAGGCCAGTCAAGCATTTCTGCTCAAAAGAGCCGAACGATGTCGTTTTGGCCCATTGTTGGGCCGAAATGTGTGACCCATGCAGAGTCAAACTCGGTTTCAGAATGGGCTCCAATGGAGCTATGTTTTTCTTCGGTACTATTTTGAGACAGGACACATAGTATCCTTTGTACATTCTCTAACAAATATTGATGCTATTTCTTCCATATGCCTAGCTATGATGGGGGTCCTACTCACGTGTCACATGTTTTTTTTTTTTTTGATAAAAAAAAAATATTATTAGACTAGTACCCATTTGGAGAACATCAAATTTGATACTTGATCTGCTTCTCATTTTAAAAAAATCTGGCCACCACTGCGGCCACTCACGTGTCCCGTGTTTGTTTAAAACTCAGCACACCATAGCTGGTAACACTAAGCGATCCGATCAGACTCGACATTTTGAAGTAAATATAAGTCAATAAAAACAAAAAACTATTTTTAAGCCCTTAAACTTATCCCATTTTAGCACATCAGCCCCTGAACAAAAACACGTGCTTACAAGCCCTTGAACTACTTGATTTATGCAAATCAGCCCTTTAGCTAACTGCTACTGTTGCAGTCCGTCGATTTTATAAATGACTTTGCAATTAAAAGAGACACTTGTGTTAATGAACTAACCGGAGTTAAAAAGAAAATTAAATAATTGCAATATTAGTTAAATTTAAGAGAATAATGTATATTAATTTTGACTCTAATAAAAAAATTAAAGTTTAACTTTAAAAACACAAATTTCCAATGAATATTTTCAAAAATTAATCATTAAATTTAATGTTTTATTAATAGAGAACATTCACATTAATTTTCAAATAAAATGATTAAAAATTTAAAGATTATATTTTTCTTTTAAATTTAACTAATTTAATGACTAAATTGCAATTATACATTTTGTTTAGTCAAATTCATAATATATTTTTGTTTTGTTAGTACTGTGTTACGTTGTATTGTAACTATAATTTTTTTTTTGTGTCTTACTAATAAATTTACATTTTTTAGATAAAGTTCTATAGAAAAAGAAGTATGAATAAAGCATTGTAAAATGAAACTTATATATACGTATGTGTTTTTTTCATTCAGTATAATTTTTGTACATTCATTGTTCAGGCTGATGAGAATGGATGCTCAAAAATAATAAGGTTTTGTGGTAAGCCTTCTAGCTGCAGCCACTGTTAATGCAATTAAATGTTAGGGCTTGCACGTGAAAAGATTATTTGTCTCAGAGAGATATACATAGGGAAAACGTACAAATGATCAGATGTCGACCCTGCTACCTGAGGCATGTTGATTGGATCAAATAATCCATTGGGCAGGAGAGCATCACAGCTTCCTTTGGGAGAAGCAGAGTCACAATTTCCTCCATGATCTTCTTCATGAAAATTTTAAAAATGGATCGATCACTGGAACTTCATTTGTCAGTTGAACAACAGATAACAATTTCACAGGAAGGCCATTAATTCAAAGAGCAGTGCTAGGGGCACTCGCCTCTTGCACTCGCCGGCCAACACTTCCCCTTTCATTGGCCCACGTAAGCTTGTTTCAGGCTTTGAAGGGCAATCTCTTACAGACCAGACTAACGTGGCCCAATAAAACTGAAAGTGTTGGCCGGAGAGTGCAGAAGGCGAGTGCCCCTAGCACTCCTCTAATTCAAATTTTCTTCTTCTATTAAGGCCATACGTTTGGGAGATCCTTGGATGTCTTGCAGTGCACCGTGAGGAGGATTAATTCAAACCCAACATCCGTTGAAATGAACTCTGTTTTAGCATCCTTATCACAAGTGCACGGTAGTCCCATCATCACAAATTCAAAACCATCTAAACAACTTCAAGCTCGCATATATAATTTCCAACTTCTAACTTTTTAAACCACTCCCAAACTGTATCACAGCATTCAGCATATTAAGTTCTGTTTGGGCAGCTTCACGAGATCTACTGTTGAGATCACAAGTGGCTCCGATACTTAAAAAACTTGAGAATATTTTTTTGAAGAAAACAATCTCACACTCAAGATAGTAATATCTTGTCGTTTAGAAAGAGAAATCCCCAAAAAAACAAAAAATAATTATAAAGAGAAAAAAATATAATGAAATTATTATTTTTAAAAAAGTAATTGGAGGTATTTATAGATTTGGTACCGTTAGTGATGCCACTGTTACTCTTTTATTGGCACACCTGTCCTTGACCATGTGGGTGTGACATGACTGAAGTGTCTACCCATTTGGGTTGATTACGGCCTTTTGGGCCTAATTGATGATGTTGGGCCTGTTTCCCAACAAGTTCAAACAGAAGGGAGAGTATCACCATCAGCAAGAAAACAGAAATACCTGCATTGTTCTTTCCTGACGCATTCTCTTGGATTTGTCCTCCAGTAAATGAGAAAGAGAAAAATTTCACCCTGCACCTTATCCAGTGA